TAAGTCATTTAACAGCGGGTGAAACCCCACTTGCCAGGGTTTGGGGAAACTTGAAGCATCCAGGCTTGATCCAAGTGGCGACTTGGTCGCCAGCGCTCAAATCCGCCAAGTAGTTTGAACATAAGCCAATTCTTTCCGTTTTTAGATTGGTTTTATATTTCACTACTGCCACTAGAATGTGAACTTCGTTCTTGACCGCCTTGAAGCTGCTGGCAATGGAAAACTCCCTGGGTTTGATCGGGGGGAATATCTCAAAAAGGACGTCCAAAGTGATGTTCTTAGTGGCATGGGGAAAATCCCGCAAAACCTCCACAGTGTTCCGTCGTGGTCGGCTAGTGTACGAGTACATGTCCTGCTGGCCTTCGGCGGAGCAGAATTCTAAGCATTTCTCTTTTTCTAGATCGCTGTCCGTTATTTGGGAGAGTAATTGGAAAACTCTCCTTCGGGGAATTGCGAACAAATCAAAGTACTCTTCGCACAGTTGCTGGAACGTTACTTCGGCTTTCAGCGCATCCGGCACCGGGGTGTTTTCACTAGTTTCACTCAGTTGGACCAAAGCGCTGTCTGGGATCGAAACTTTGCTCTCAGCTAGCGCGTCTTTGAATTCCTTCACTTTCCAAGCCAGGTTTTTGGGCCTCAAAACTAGCAGATCGCCTGGAGCGTATTCTTGGCCTTCAGTCTGAAACCTGATCAATCGAACGTCCTGCAACGGAATGTCTGTGCTTCTCATTATGAATGCCGCTGTTTGAACTGCGGATGTTTACCTGGAAGTGCGACGGATCGGTCTGGCGGGAATTTTCCAGAACTTTGGCATTAAACTCATTGCTACGCTTCGTGGAGTAGAAAATTGAGCGAATTCTACCGGGCTCGGTTGGGGGCTCTAAGAATTTTGCCTCGCTGGTTACAGTCCATCTGGAAATACAACCGTTTCAAATTAAAAATAAATTCAATTTACTTGACATGCCTTGGATTAATTGGGAGATTCTTGGACAAAGGGCGAACGCCTGCTGGCAATGGATAGTCTTCCAGCAACTTGGTCCATAAGTTTTGCATCCAGAGGTCCGCCACAGCATCGTACCCCAAATCGTGCTGATCGTCCGCTAGTCCCAAAGGCAGTAACGACTGGCCCCCCAACTGCGACAGCCTTTTCTGCAGTCGTTTGGCAACGAAATTGAACTTTGCATAACTGGAGTCGCCAAGACCAATAACAGCAAACCTACGCAAGTAGATAGAATGTTAACTTGGAAACCACTTGGTTGCTTGCAGGAAACTGACCTGAGATTGCCCAGTAAATTGCACGGCAAACTCCTCTTCAACAACAGCTTCCAGAAGCTCTTCATGTTGTCAGGCTCTTCGCCTTGGCCTGTAGTTGAACAGACAAAAACTATACAGCGCTCCTGCACAAGATCCGATAAGGAAAATTCATCCAAAGGCTTCGCATGGCTCTGAAAATAAAATCGTTTCGATTCCCGAGCAATTCGTTCAGCCAAATCCTGAGCATTTCCAGTCTGAGAGCCAAATAAAATGTGGATTTTTACGTTTTCGAAAGTCATACTCCGATTGCGTGGGTTTTCATGCAACTTACACGGTTCAACTACAGAATTTTGTTAATGAGTGGTTTGTCTCATGCTGATGGGCTTTGAGGGTCTTTAATTAGTTTTTCTGGTTAAAGTCTGATTTTGATGAACCATGAAGGTTAAGAATTTTTGAGGTTGAAGTTTACAGCACTTACTCTGTCATCTGTCTCCGAGTCACAAAAGTCAATACTGGACTGGGAATTCTTCAAAAAACCCCCTAATGTCCTGCAAGCCCTAGGCCCGATCCATAATTTAAGCATTATGCAATAGTAAAGTACAAATTCAAAAAAAAAAGTTATTACGAGTTTTTGAAAAAAGTTTTCTGTTATAAATGCTTTGTAAACTGCCATCTCGGGGAGTTTTCTAAACAACAAAAACCTATGTCTTTCCATATAATTCTCACCGCAGGAAAGCAACGCAAACGAAGCTTATATACAAATTGGAAGGGTAGTATACCGGGGGTGTGTGTCAGTGATGGCACCGCTGAACATTGATCACTTAAAGGTTACTTTAGCTGATCTGCTCAGTACAAGTGCAGTCACGTGGTCGATCCAGCAACCAAGGGATTGCCGATGCCGCGGCGCTCGGTTCTATCCAGTGGTTTCTTGAACGTCCGTTATTTCCAAATTTTGGGGGCTCGGGAAGTTTAAATTCAAGACACCTCCATGAATGGCGCTTGCAGTGTGGCAGTCTGCCATTTTTTTTTTGCTTGTTTAGCTAAGTTTAGATTAAATTGATCAGTTCGTGTGGCTTTTAATTTTAATTT